CCCCAAAACCCCAAAACCCCAAAACCCCAAAACCCCAAGATATTATTAAATTTTTGAAAAATTTGTGAAATTCTGCGCAAAAAATGTCAACCGGGCCATCACTCAAATCAACCTTATTAGCCCCATTAGCAATTCCAGGGAACTCCTTTGAGTCTAAGTTCTTGGCCTCACTCTCCAAGGCTTCCAAAAACTTATCAATAGATTTAGCAGAGGGCGTGGCTGGAAGTTCTTCCCGTACGACCAGTCCACTTGTGTTTAAAGTTCTTGACATTGCTCTGGATCTACTAAAGAATAGTATTTGCGAAGAGGTAGATAAAGAGAGCCAAGAGCAAGAACCTGAGCCGAACAAAGAATCTGCGTCATCTGTTGTGAGCAAACTATCGATTATTTTAAAATATACAGATTTTATTGACCCTGAACGGGTGAAATACCAAATCACAAACCAGACTTACTTCGAGTGAGAAACAGTTTTTGAGTTCATTGAGAAAATCTTGTTCAAGAGCAAATTCATAGACATTCATATGGCCTTGGCATGTTACGTAACTCTATTAATCCTGACAGCAGCAGAAGGAGATCTAGAGAAATATTACTTAGCCATAGGGAGATGACTCACTAAAATTCCAATGGAATCAGGTCTTGTTCCGAAGCTATTTACTGATTTTTATAACCAAAGCTGGCACTGGATTGAAAGATGTCGATCATGAGGAGGACAGAGTCAGCCAAAGATGCAGGGATCTATATTGCTTACAACCCTGGATACAAAGTTATTAACTCTAATTCTGACGCCAAACACATACTTGATCCCTGAAATACTCTCACAGATAGAATTCAGGGGGTTTAAATATCACAAAAATCTCATACCAAAACTCCTTGATTTCGCTGCTGAGATTCACTATGCTTTGCCCTTGACAGACCAACAAGAGTCACTAGACCTCAACCTAGTATGCCTGAACATCAAGACTTACTTGAAATGATTGATTAATTATCACAAGGCTTACCTAGAAGAACTCTTGAGCCTCATCAGCACGAATTTCAGCTTGTACTTAGGCCTCATAATGCCTGTGCTTCCTCGTCTAGGTAAAGAATTCATAGAAATCTTGACAAGTATTCTCCAGAAATGAAGAAAGATAATCCAAACAGTTGTGGATAAGAGTAAGGGTCAGATCCCCACTGAAAATTATATCAGACATCTCAATAATACATGTGGTATCGCTAATTCTATATGTCAGAATAATGAGTTTACAGGGACAGAAGTCGAAGCTCAAATGGCAAAGTCTATCCAGACCTTATCAGGAGTCATTTTGAAGAAGAAAGCTACACATAGTCTTGATACAAAGTTCTTGATCAACTTCACAAGACTTTCATTACTAATCTCAGGTGTTGATCCAAGAAGTTTGTGACCAAAGACAGACTTACTGATGCCGTTATCTTTCAAGACGATATATGTTTCTCAGAGACTGTATGACCTAATGAAAGAAGAAGATGATCTCAGTGAGTTCAAGCTGCTCCAGATCATCAATTTCTCATACGTAATCTTGACTACAAAGACAGATATCACCAAGAAGATGCTCAAGAGTTATACCACAGAAATTACTCCGAAATATATACAGGGATTTACCAAAGTGAAATCTCCCATATTGTATTCTGAATTCCTGGGAAAAGTTCTCAAATTACACAACTGAAGCACTTTGAAGGATTTCAGTGTTTTAGTGCCTAAGGAGAAGTTTTACAAAGATCTGGTGAATCAGATCACCGAGACAGGCAGTATCATCCATCCAAAGACAGGATTGGTCCAGATCTCAAACTTTGTGGCTAAAATAGGAGGGTTTATTCATAAAATTTATGTCCAAGATAGGTCAAAATACGCACTTATAGCACAAAATTATGCTAATCTATCTTCATCTCTACGAGACCTTAACTCTGATGATGGCCAAGCAATTGAAGAATCATCATCACAGATCTGCAAGCAAATAGGTAAGCGACATTTAAACTTCATAGAGGATATGGATGCGAAGGAAATTTCTACATATCTCAGCAAGAAGCTATCCCAGATTCTATAATTTAATACGAAAAAGGGGTTTTGGGGTTTTGGGGTTTTGGGGTTTTGGGGTTTTGGGGTTTTGGGGTTTTGGGG